GAGAGAGAGAGAGAGAGAGAGAGAGAGAGAGAGAGAGAGAGAGAGAGAGAGAGAGAGAGAGAGGCTCACAACTTACCTCTTGTCATCGTTACCGGTTGTGAACATAAAACTGATGTGAATTTGTGAAGTGGATTTCATGAAGTACGTCTGCTGTTGCCATCGTTCTGTTATTAGTTCCTAAGGTTCTTGTCAGGCCATGTGCTCTTCTTTTGACTCTTTTCCACTTCCCCCCTCCACCGTCCTACCACCTACCTACCAGCACCCTCTTCCATCTACGCCCCCCACCTACCACCCTCTTCCTTGCTCCTCCGTCCTTGCCGCAGACATTGTTATGTCGGAATTGACTGTGGGTTCTCCCACTTCTTCTGTCCTGTTTGTTATTTGTTATTTTGTGTGCCACCTTCCACCCACGAATTGTTCTCTCTCTCTCTCTCTCTCACTGCATAATTGATCGACTGTGGTTATCAATTTTTCTTTCTTACCTTCCTCCCACCCGCCTTCTGTCACTAGCGAGCCACCCCCCTCTTCTTTTTGTCATCTTTCAGGGCACACTCATACTAGCACGTTTTTACTTATTTCTCTGTGCAATTGTGTCCACATGCATCCACACCGGGCTGTAATTACAGTCAGATACATAAAAGATAGTACTCGTCTGATTACGCCCTCAGAAGTGGGCCAACAATCTACATTTGTCCTGTTAACTGCTTGGCAGTGTTGTGCAGCCAAACTGACAGCAAGTACCCCCCCCCCCCCCCCCCCCCCCCCCCCGCCCCCCCACCCCCCCCCCCCCGTTCTTTGTTCTGTTTGTGCTGTCTGTGTCGTTTCGTTTTGAATGGGTTTGTCATTTTGTTGTGTCTCTTTTCTGTTTTTTTTGCAGGATGAGTCAGACGAGATGCTTAGCAGAGGGTTCAAGGATCAGATCTACGATGTGTATAGATATCTTCCGCCGGAGTTGCAGGTATCTGAAAGATATGAAAGTAATCATCTTTCATGGAAACATCTCCTTAACACAAAAATCTGGGTGATTTTTTTTTTTTTTTTTTTCTGGGTTGTGGAATGCAAGTGCCTCGCCACCGTTACAGTCTTGAAATGCGATCCGCCGCACCGCACCGCAGCCATCGTTTTGTTCGTTGAAAAACGAAAGCATTCCCTCATGGGTACGATAGCATTGGCATGTGGAATCATCTCCTTACCACAAAAATCTGGTTGATTCTTTTTGTGGATGGCTTGAAAGCATAGTCACGCTGATGTGTGCATTTTTCACATCAGATTGATGGATTCCGTGGATGACAGGATCCGCAGACTACAGATATGGCCTTGCATTCTGAACAATGCAAAAATATAAATCAAACTTATCACAGCGAAGTACACTACTGGAAGTGTTCACAGTCCCCGTCCCTTTCCCCCCTCCTCTTCTTCTTGCTCCTCGTCTTCCTCCCCCTTCTCTTCCTCTTCCTCCTCCTTCCCCTGTCTCTTCGTCCTCTCCCCTTCCGTGCCCTCCTTCCCTCCTCTTCCTCCTCCTCCTCCTTTTTCTCTTCCTCCTCCTCTTTCTCTTTCTCTTCCTCCTCCTCT